GGGAAAGAGGGAGGGAAGAGGGAGGGAGGGAGGGAGGGAAGAGGGAGGGAGGGAGGGAGGGAGGGGGGGGAGGGGGAGGGAGAGGGAAGGGAAAACCTAGAGTGATAATGATGGAAATAAAAATATATGTATCGCAATATATATATTTCTTTACATATAAATGTGCATGCGTGCGCACGCGCATCTGTGTGTGTGTGTGTGTGTGTGTGTGTGTGTGTGTGTGTGTGTGTGTGTGTGTGTGTGTGTGTGTGTGTGTGTGTGTGCGTGTGTGTGTGCGTGTGCGTGTGCGTGTGTTTCGTGCGTGTGTTTCGTGCGTGTGCGTATGTGTGCGTGTGCGTGTGTGTGCGTGTGCGTGTGCGTGTGTGTGTGTGTGTGTGTGTGTGTGTGTGTGTGTGTGTGTGTGTGTGTGTGTGTGTGTGTGTGTGTGTGTGTGTGTGTGTGTGTGTGTGTGTGTGAGAGAGAGAGAGAGAGAGAGAGAGAGAGGGCTGTGGAGTTGGGAATTTGGTGCTGATAGTGCTATGTATTATTTAAAGCATAAAGTTTTTTTTTTTTTTTTTTTTTAGAGAATATACAATAAAAAGATATATATATATATATGCATGTACATATATCCATATACAAACATATACATATATATGTACATGTACATATATATTTACAGATATATATACACATACATATGCACATACATATATATATATATTTACATATACATATACACATACATATATATATTCACATATACATATGAACATACATATATATATATATTTACATATACATATACACATACACATATATATATTTACATATACATATATAAACACACACACCCATATATATAAGAAAATTACAATACAATAATAATACCTTCTGGCCTTTGGGAATTTAGAAAAAAAATATATATAGATAGTCTTATACTTACTCAGAATCCAACATGTGAAATTTTGATGCATGATTTTTTAGATGATACTGATGTGGAAAGTTCATAAAAAAATAATTGTTAAAAAAAAAGCATATACCAATAAATGCATGATCCTGTTCCATAGATGAATTTAAAATATAATAAAATTATCAGTTAGTTCAATCACAATCTTCAATAGAAGTATACCTGATATGATGTTTCCTGTCGATAGCCACCAGAACCTGTGTGCTGGCTAATTGAACCATACTGCTCATTCACTGGGTCGTAGTCAGCTATGCTACCAACACGACGGTTAGGCTGCTGTTGCACTGTTAAATAAATGGAGGAGGCATTTAGAACAGGATTATTTTTCTCCCCAGTTTATTCATGTACCCTTTTGTTGAAAATGTGAATTCATAATCCTATACATCTAAATATTGTGATGTACAGTATTCATAAGCTAAAAGTAAATAAAGGCACTGATCTGACTTTTAGGTGAATCATACTAGGATTGAATATATAAACTATATAAATATATTCTGCTATACAGAATACCTATCAATCTGGAAATATTTATAAACATCAAAGATTATTATCTTAATACATCCCTATCTATGTAAATTTTCCTCATTCAGTCCACTATCCTGTTATCTATCTATCTGTCTGTCATAAACATGCAAATATATATCCATGAATGGATTAACAGCCTTCTTGAACATAAGCTATTAGTTTAACACCCACACTCAATGCAATTTTGTGCTTTTACTTTTACTGAGACTGCTACTACTGTCTAATTGAGATCTCAATTGATATTGCATTATAACTGGAAAATGAAGTTAATAATATTATCTTAATACATTTTCTACAACTTTTTGTTGTTACTATCTGGGCAAAATAGATAATGCCAATAAAAATAGTAAGACACTACATTACATTGAAACACTTTATCTACAAAAAAGGAAAAACAAATCTGTGACTATAAAAAACATAAGGTAGAAAACCACACAGACAAGCACCCAATTATTTATACCCATGACCCCCTTGTCAAAGGTGTATTTGTTGATATTTGAAGATTTGTTCCACCATTGTTCATGAATGGGAGGATGGAATTCTACCACTTCATTTCCTCCTCTTGGCCAATAGTGTTCAGACCAATCTTCTCCCATTACAACTTCAATGTCATACATTCTTTTTATTGTATCTAGTTGAGGCAAAGGAAAGAAGTTCATTATAGATTGGGGTACATTCAATGCACAAAATACCAATCCATTGTAATTGATTAATGCAATGTGATTCAGAACCATTCCTGAAAACAAATACATATAAAAACAAATGCATAAACAAGTCATTACAAAACTGTAACAAGCCTTTGGTGGGTAAAAATTAATCTGGGCTAACTTAGAACTTTTCCACATCTTACAAAATTATCCTAAGAAATAAACACCCATCTATACAATAATACTTGCATGATAGCATCTTGGAGACCATGCAATTTGTGAGCATGAGTGACTCTGAACAAGTAACTTTCCTTCAAGCACTTATGACCAATGCAGTGGACAGTTGTCTGCTCTGGCCTGACTTTTATGGGTGGCTAAGCTCGTCCAAAACATTTCACCGGAGTCTCCAGATACAAAGAGGGCTATTTTCATGATGATTGAAGGTATGTCATTAAAAAAGGAGAAAATCTATAAGATTACAAAAATATATAAGCAAAATAATTTTTTTTGGAAGGTTAAATTTTAAAATTTTTGGTTACGGAGAATAACACAAAAAAGACTCTAGTCTCTTCAACAACAAATTATTTATTTACTTAGATTGTTCCTTTTGTTTTCTTATTAGTGCAGCTGCTATCCCAACTGTCATCATCATCACCTGTTGTTGTTTAGTCTACATCTTTGCTTGTAACTACACAGCACTGAATGCAAATGACTCTAGATTTGACATTAGCATTGGAATTTTCCTTGAACATGATAGCAATGATCCTGCTGCCATGCATGTATGATCATGTAAATGGGGCCTAATCACTGAACAATTGCAATAGCATTTCAGACACTAGAATTCAGCTTCCTAAAATAGCATACTTGCAATTCATATAACCTTTTAGAATATAAAGAAAATACCTTTTCCTTTCCTTTGATGAAGTATATACAAACAAAAATAATATCATATTAGGAACTGTTACGCTATATAATGTTATTTGGTGAGAGTAAAGTGATCAACCAGCAAATAAGGTAAATCCAAAATGCACTTGGCATAAACAACTGATAACACCATAAACTGGCACAACATTAGCACTTCCAATTGTTAAAAATACAAAACAAATATCTTCCACAAAGACAAAAACTACAGCACTCTACCAACTACCAAAAGCAAAAGGCAAACAAGATTTCAGTGAACTTCCACTTACCTTGAAGCTAGAAATTTGTATTCAAAGAGCCTGTTTCACAAAACTGTTTCAAAGTACTTTTACTAATAAAATATACCAGTTTGCAAAACTAAGGTATGAAAGATATTATTCCTTTTTTTGATACTTGAAATCCATTATTCTACCTTAACAATAATAGCTACTCTACCTGGTCCAGTTTGACTGGAGTAGATGAGGGTCTGGGACGTTCGGGCAGAGTATGGGGAGTTGTGGTTGGCATCATGATACATGTTTTGTGGGGCTGGGTGATGGTGATAGGATGACGTTTGGATCTGCTGCTTTTGCTGTGGCTGCTGCTGTTGTTGTGACTGATGATGATGTTGTGGGTGGTGTGGCTGTTGGTGATGGTGATGGAGGAATGATGTGGAGGAGGACTGGGGAGGGTGGCGGTGTTGTGAGGAAAGGGAAGCTCCTCCATACTGCTGGTGGGAAGGGCCATAAGACTGCTGCTGGTGGTGATGGTGTAGTTGTTGTTGTTGCTGCTGTTGTTGTTGTTGTTGTTGTTGTTGTTGTTGTTGTTGTTGTTGTTGCTGGTGATGCTTCTGCATCTGTTGGTGGTGATGATGATGCTGCTGCTGTTGCTGTTGCTGCTGCTGGTGTTGGTGCTGCTGTTGGAGTTGTTGCTGCTGCTGCTGTTCCTGCGGCCGCTCACGTGGTGGGGGGGCTCCAGCTACCACAAACAAACACTCAAGCTTGACCCAAACACACACACAAAATTCATGCAGATATATACAAGTTCAAAAGAACACAAAGAAGATAGAAAGCAACAAAGAGCACTGATATTTAGTGCAAAGGAAAGTCCATAAATATATAAAACAGTTGGGTGTTCTAACCTAATTGCTATTTGATGCTTTCTACCTTATCATGCATTGGTTATTCAATATGGTATCACTTTGAAAAAATCAAAGGTCAAGCAAAATGGATAACAATTAGAATTTGAAGCCACACTATATACAAGGGTCCATGTTATTGAAAGGTTGCATGCTTCTGATAAGTAAACACACAAATAAGATGGCATTAACATATTCCATAAATGAAAATTAATAAATATAATTTTTGTTTACAAAAAACTGCAACCATACACCTGCAATTGAAAAATCATCATAATCTATTTCACATACATTTGTATATCTATGTATAAAAACACATGGCCTACACATTAATTACATAAAGTTGAAGTCACCACAACCTAATTTACTGCTGCATAATATCTTCCACTTTGATGATAAAAAGTTCTGTAAAAAAAGTTATTAATATCTTAATCTTCCACCTAATAACAACTCATCCTATGAGGAATTTCACCTACTTCAAAAAAATGTTAAAAAGTGTTGTACATGTTCTAATGTTAAAAACCATACAATGAAAACAAAACTAATAAACATATAAATAATATAAAAACATGTCAATTAATAAATAAGAAGGAGGATGAGAAACTTCCAAGGTAAGCACTCACAAGCTAAAACAAAAAGGATATATAAAAAGCCAGAAGACTAAAAGCAAAGAAAACATCATGCAGTGCCATATATATACTAAGAAAATACTGTTAAGTTCTTACTTGCATAGTGGCTGTTAGTTGGGTAATATGTGTGTGAAGCACCATGTCTGTTAGTGCTAGGATATGCCCCACTTGAACCATTGGTGGGTTGGTCAGAATAGCGGTTAATAGAGGCA